CACACTCCGTACAAAAAAAACAACAAAAAAAAAACGCATCTGCGCCCCATCACAGACACCCCCCCAACCCCCCACCGAAACCAAATTTTATTTCAGATTCGGGGTCCTCTCGCCGAGCGCAGAACGACCCCGCTTTCAAAAAAAAAAAAAAAAAACTTCTGGGCGTTTTTTTTTCCCGCCCGGTTTACCCGGGCCCAACCGGCCGGGCCCAGCCCGACCGGGCGGCGTCCTCACACAGAAAAAATAAAAATAAAGGGCTGGTTTTTGCCTGCATGGGGGTGGCCGTGCAGGTGACCTCCGGGGCGATTTGCCCAGGGTGCATGGCTGGGTGAGCCAAGTAACCTAGTTTCAAATTTTTCGTTCCAACTTCCAGTTTGCCATTGCTTCTAAGTTTTAACTTTCAAGTTTGTTAACTTTGTATAAGTTTGTAAGTGTTTTTTTTTTTTTTTTTTTTTTTTACGAACGTTGCGTTGATATTTTTCTTTTTGTGTTCTCTTACAATTGTGATGTATGTGATGCAGAAATATTTCATCAACATGCTGGAGGCTGACAAGGCGAGTTTTTTTCCCCCCTCTTATATGCAGTGATAAACTGTTATATTATTTATATATCCTCTTTGAATGAAACACCCTTCTGCCCTTGCAGTACCAGACAGTGTTCCTGACGCCTTTGTTTTTTTTTGAAACCTTTTTTTCCATCTCTCATTTATCAATCACAAGAGATTTTTGACACATCAGCGAGGGACGACCAATGTGAGTGAGTGGGTGTTGGGTAAGTTTTCCCTAGGCAACAATTGTTTGGCTTTGTGTGTGTGTGTGTGTGTGTGTGTGTGTGTTTTGAAACGTTCCGTTTGATTCCTTTCTCGGCCTTTTGGCTTAAGACTGCGACCCCACAGGAGTGCGGAAAGGAAAAAGTTTGCCACAAAAGTGTTTCCGGGACCCCACAATCAGCGGAAAAGGTTCTGGAAAAGCCGAAATGTCTTCCAAAGACTGTTTTCCGGGAAGGCACAGCCCACGTTTTGGGGCCTGGAAGATGGTGTGTCGACGTTTCACATCATCTGCGGTCTGGAAAAGGCTGTCGGGATGGAATTCCGCCGCCAAATTGTGCCGACAGCAGAGGATGGCCGTGGGTGCCATCTTCAACTTTTCCAAGGTCAGGTCCCATTGTTGGACCATCGAGTGTCCGTCCATGCATCGTCCGCCCTGTGTCACCCACAACTCACGCCACGGCCTGTTCCTCAGGTCCAGCCGCGGCATCCTGGACACCCCAGCACTTTTCCTTTTCGGCCACTACCCACGGACCTTTCTTCTTTGCGGGAAAAAAAAACCGACTTTGCCGCAAAATGTACTCTGCGATGGGGTCCCGGATAAAAATACTTTCCAACTTTCCAAAATGACTTGCCCTCTTTTTGTGGCCAAAGTTGCCTTCAAACGTCTTATCTATCCGCTCTGCAGTGGGGTCCCAGCCTAAGTAGGATAAAGTGTAGTAGCATGTGTTCTGGTCAGTTTAATATCTGATCTGTTGTCCATTCGGCCACAACGATATTAAATTTGAAGTTTGAACCAAAAAAAAACAAAAAAAACGTTCAATTAGGTTGGTTTCTAACTTTCGATATACACATGTGACACTGGCCATGTACCTTCCCTTTGCATTCATTTGTTTTATTAGTATTTTATTATTATTATTATTATTATTATTATTATTATTATTATTATTATTGGCTTGCTGTTTCTGTGTACTCGAACCCACATTTTGCCCGATTTATTTGTCGCTTGCCACCACGGAAAGGCAGGTGACTAGCCCCAAAAAAAAAGAAAGCTCTTCTTTTTTTTCTTGTTTTTTTTCTTTTTTTGGGCTAGTCACCTGCCTTTCCGTGGTGGCAAGGGACAAATAAATCGGGCAAAATGTGGGTTCGAGTGCACAGAACAGCACAAATTTGAAACTGTTGTACACAGGGTTGAGGGGATAGATCATCCGAACAACCTATGGCCAAAAAAGGAGCATTCTGTAAAGGCTCGCCCGACTATGCTTCAGCTAGGGCTGGGTAGGGGTTTAAAAACTGCTCCCGGCTCCTCCGTGATCGGCCTAGCCTTGGGTAAGTTGGTCCAGTCCGGGCTTGTCCGTTGAGTCCGCCCAGCCGTGGTGCCTGTACCTGCTACTTATATTCGGTCCAAGTCACCCTCTGAGATGGTGGGGTAGGATAGTGGGAATAGGGGTGCGCTAGGAGAATTGATGAGAGGATGGGTAGGGAGGCGGTCTCACAAAAAGGGACAGTTGTCAGGACAACCAGTGGCTGGATGATGACTGCAACCACTGCGTGTGTGTCTGTCCGGAACCTTGCTTCTACAACAACCTGGACGTTTATGAAGAAAGGAAAAAAGGCCAAAAAACGGACGAGCCTAGCTTAGTTGGTGCACTCAGAAACTCTCGAAATGAAATGCAGATGTGAGCAGGAATCCCACTCAACTAGATGATTAGAGTGAAATAGCGGACGAGCCTAGCTTAGTTGGTGCACTCAGAAACTCTCGAAATGAAATGCAGATGTGAGCAGGAATCCCACTCAACTAGATGATTAGAGTGAAATAGCGGACGAGCCTAGCTTAGTTGGTGCACTCAGAAACTCTCGAAATGAAATGCAGATGTGAGCAGGAATCCCACTCAACTAGATGATTAGAGTGAAATAATTCTGCATTACCTGCGGCCAGTCCTTTCAAAGATGATATCTCAAGGCCGTCGCCCTTTCTAAGAAATAAGATGTTTTTTTTTTTTCTAAAAAAAAAAGGAACTGATTCAGAAAGAGTTTTCTTGTGTGAACATAGGGATAGCCTTTATCCAGATTCGTGCTTTCTTTCTTTCTTTTTTCAAATGCTGTACGGACTTAACCAAGCAAATCACTCCAGCAACTAAGAACGGCCATGCACCACCACCCATAGAATTAAGAAAGAGCTCTCTCAATCTGTCGAGCCTTGCTATGTCTGGACTCTGGACCTTAGCACAAACATAGCACCAGTGTGCGATATGACGTGATTCTGTGATATGCCTGCCTGCTTCACCTCCTTTTTTTTTTGCTTTTTTTTTCTTTGAATAAACAGGAGGCGGCGGCTACGGATGGTGGGCTTTGAATGGTCCAGGAGCAGTATCGCAGATGAGTCTGTGGGAATGTGAAACCTGTTGCTGACCACAAAAAAAATTGAAATACAAATTCAAGTAATGGATAAAATAGTAAAAAATAAAAATAAAAAAATAAAAATAAAATAAAATAAAAAATTGACATTACACATTGACAACCTTGCGCCAGAAGGATTTGTCCCTTATGTGCTCCAGTGCTGCTAACTGACTTATATGAAGTTTTTTTTCTTTTTTTTTTTTTGACATGGCATTGTAGTAACTACTTTCAGATTCTATCCGTAGGGCCCTCACTTTTGTCCCTTTGTGTACTAGATTACTACTTAAGTTACTTAGTTTGACATGCATCGTACACATTAAGTACTTTGACATAACATACCCATTTTCCAGTAGGTGCTGCTCTGCACCAATAGACTGGAGTGCAAGGAAAATAAGCAACAGCGAGATGACAATCCCAGATCACACCATCACATTGCAAGTCAAATAGTCACACCGTGTCCAGATAGCAGCATTGCACCAATGATACACCAATGGAGTTTTGTAGCACTGAAAACCAATGTTCGTGGAGAGCACACTCTCTCCTCTCAACACAAGAGTCCAGTTCCCTTACACTCAYACTTGGCGCTCAGCGCCCAGCCTACTCCTACACGGCTACTACAGACTACAAAAGACAATGCAACTGTTGACATCAGCAGCAGCCCGAAGTACTTGAAGATGCCGCCCATGCAGACCATCGCCAATACAAGGTGTGTGCCCTCACATCATCATCATCATCATCATCCTTCACCTATCCCCTGTCTTCACCCACACCTGTCCTCTCTGTCACCCGAAGACCACCCCTGCGCTTCACTGTAGTCCAAGCCCACCAGCTATGGTGGCTGGGCTATGGCGCTGCCCTCAGCAGCGCCCTCCTCCTCTGCACGACCGCACGTGCTGCACCTCGCCTCTCAGCGCTAGCAGCAGCCTACGAGCATAAACTCCAGCAACGCTGCCGCCCACCATGCGAGTGCATGAATGAGGCAGCCAGGGGCGGGCTCTTTCCTTTATGGAAAGAGTTGGGCTGCTCACGCAGCCTGGCTGCCTTGGCCTGGGCCCAGGAGCTTCTGGAAGGCCCCAGGAGGTTGCCTGGATGCAGCAGCTACTGGGCTGCTGGGCCTCGTTCGGTTGGGCGCCCAACTGTCTCTGTATGAGGCTGCGAATCACGGCCAAGGCCTGCATTCTTTGGAAAGGCCCGGTAGGCCGTGGAAATGTCCCTGTTGCTCGGCCTGTGTATCTTTCAACCAACTGGCGCGTCACAACTGCCTGAACCCCAAATATGAAATTGACAGTCGAAGGCCCTTTTGCAAAAGCCAGGCCCACCTTCACTTAGGGCGGGCACCTCCGCCTTCACTTAGGGCGGGTAAGGCTGCAGACAGGGCCCCATAGGCCTACCGAGGACCCTGATCCTCGCATTCCCTCCTCAACTTCGTGAGTCCCCTGAGAAGTCTTCTTATTCTGCAGGCATCTTCCCTTTCCTTTCTCTTTCATAGCCTGCAATCACTTGAGGTGCTGTTCTCATGAGTCCTTCTCGTGTGAACGAACGATCTTCCTTGGGATCGAGGTGATGTCTGAAGCTCACCCGATACTCCATTCTTGGTTTAGGAGGTCGCCCTCTGCCTGATGGTCGAGGAACAGGCATCATTCGATGCTCGACGATCTGGTCAATGTCCACTTCACCATCCATGGTTGGGGGCAGCATAGATCTCCGAGAGGGAAACAGATCGGTGGCAGCAGAAGGTGCCAGCTTGGAGGCATGGAAAACAGGATGGGTCCGTAAGTGTGCAGGGATGCGAATCACGTAAGAAGGCCCATCCGGTTGATCCCCTACAATATCTAAGATCTCCCAGGGCCCGAAGTACTGAGGCATCAGTTTCCTTGAGATCCCTATCTCTTGTCCCAGTTCAGATGATTTCACCCAGACTCTCTCGCCTACTTGAAAGTTAGAAGGCCGTCTATGTTTGTTCTCAGATGCAATCATAGCATCTTGAGACTTTTGAATGTGTTCAACGACCTGCTGCAGCATCTGCTCATACTTGACAGCAAACTCTATGCTGCCAGGTGCTGCAGTAGGTTGTCTTTATGGTAACAGAAAGTCAAGCGCAGATCTGGGCTTCCAACCAAGATGTAACTGGTTGGGAGTCATACCGGTGGTGTTGTGCACAGCATTGTTGTACAGGCTGGCGACGAGAGGTAACTTCTCGTCCCAGTCATCCTGGCTTGGCTTAATATAATGCCTAAGCAAGTGCTGCACTACCCGGTTCATCTGTTCTGCTTGGCCATTTGACTCAGGGTGATTCCCTGACGTCATCTGGAGCTTTGTGCCCATTTGCTCAGCAGTTGACTGCCACAGTTCACTTGTGAACCTGACATCCCTATCACTAACGATAGA